GTCACACGGCGGTTTGTGGCGAAATCCGGGCAACCCCCGAGCTCCTGCCCTCCCGTCCCCTCGCCTCCCGTCCCCTCCCGTCCCGTCCCGTCCCTCTGACGGCCCGGCCGTTATTTTCTCCAGGCAGCAGGCGGCCCGGGGTCCTCCCGCGTTTCTCTGCTGGCGACGGGAAAGAGCTCAAGTCTTGTAACGAGTGATTATTAGCGATTCACAGTAGCTGCAATTAGCCCAAGTCAACACGAAAGAACTTCTGTATAATCTAGTAAAGAGACGTTTACGCTGAAAAAAACCCTAAAGTGCATGACTGGGAATTAATTGCCTGGCTCACAGCGGATTTTCCCTAAGCTGTCGCGTTCCTTCAATAAATAACTTCGGGAACAGAACTCTCTCTAGCCAGCTCTTCTAGGCATCACGTAGGAGTTATTCTAAAAGCAAGATTGCATCTTCCAGCAGAACTTTTTTTTTTTTACATATATATGTGTAATGTCATAATATAAAACGACTCCCCCAGAACTTGGAAATTATGTCTAAGGGAGGAGGAAGCAAAGATTTATGCCTCTGAGATTTCTGATCACAGTAAAACGATCATTCGTTGTACCTCTAGCAGAGCTTTTTGTTTCCAGCTTGCCGTCACGTAAGGGAAATTTTGTCATTTCCCATTCTGAAGGGAAAGGGAAACGTTCTTACTGCCCTGACGCCTGGTGCAAAGCTACACACACCTGGAGAGAAGTCGCTATAAGTCACATCTGTGCTCTCTTAGTGCAGCCGAAAGACACATGACGTCCAGACCCAAACTATTTTTGCCTGGAATACACTTGGCTGCGGTCGCATTTCCGAGTTCTCACAGCAGAAAAATCCTCATTTATTCTAAAGTTCCCAATGTGCACACAAATCCACGTAGCTCGGTCTGCCGCATCTCTCTCTTTGCTGTGCGTACCTTTCACATACAGGCATACCTTACGCGTCTATAGGTGTTATTCCTGCACTCGTACAGTGCACGCAAACTTCTCCATGCATCCAGCTAGATGCAGAGGCATGTACCAACGCGCCGCGCTGTGTGTCTGTCTGTCTGTCTGCGGAAGGCTGCCCTGTAGCTCTCCCGCTGTCTCTCTTTGCTGTGCGTACCTTTCACATACAGGCATACCTTACGCGTCTATAGGTGTTATTCCTGCACTCGTACAGTGCACGCAAACTTCTCCATGCATCCAGCTAGATGCAGAGGCATGTACCAACGCGCCGCGCTGTGTGTCTGTCTGTCTGTCTGCGGAAGGCTGCCCTGTAGCTCTCCCGCTGTAGCCGCACCGGTTACACGGATCTGCGTCTCCCCGGGGGTGCC